TACAAATCCACGTTGAATTTTAAGGGTTTTATTCCCTCGGCTCATAGCGAGCAATGGAAATAGCGAGATAAGTGATAAAAGTATACAAACTTCTTATAAAAAATAATAATCCTCTATGTGTGCATTTTCTCAAATCAATATAATTATTAACAAATAAAATCGACTATTTACTAATAAACACAGAAAAATGTATCTGATTCCTATGTTTATAATACTTATTAAACATAATTTAAGAGCGAAGAAAGATATTAAAAACATATATCAGATAAAGGGTGTGGCTAGAAGATATGCTGCTCAAATGGAAAAAAATAAATAAATAAATAAAGGGGGGATGGCCATAAAAAGCGTTGCCGCCTGAGAACGGAGAAAGGGAGGGGGAAGTGTTTAAAGCAGTCCGAGAAGAGAATCTCATTAGAGCCGTAATTAGATATTCTCGTGAGGTTGGCTCCAAGTCAATTCTTGACATGCGACAATGTTGCAGTCACCTCATTAAAAAGCGACATCTTCACGGATTTCATTCCTCCTTCTGAGTAACAACCCCCTCGTGACTCACAGTTGTAGAATTTACGTATTTTTAATTTCACCAGTACAACTATGCCAGTGCTCGTTTTCGTAGTCCTTCTTTTAACATTTTTCATCTGATGTTACAAAATGTTTCTAGATCATTATTTCACTCGTCATTCACTGCCTTACAGAAGTTAATTTTACGCTCCCTCCCCACCACTCAAAAGTAAAACATGTTTATTTGTTTATTTTTAGCTTAACAGCGTTTGGAGAAAAATGAAACGTGGAAATAATTAAATTTCAAACCTACTCGGAAATTTTAATTAATGACGAAAACTTTCCTTCCCGCAGCATTAAACAATAAGTATATTGTAACAGCAACAAAAAATTGATACAGGAAAGCAACACGAAGCAGCAGTTACTATCAAGATTACCAAAGTTTTTTATATAAATCACAAATTTAATTGCCTTCTCACGAGAATCACCGAAGCTATAGAGTCACACACTTAGAAGTACACATTATTATTTTTTATAAGAAGTTTGTGACTCTATAGTCACAGTTTGTGACTAAAGAGTCACAAACTTCTTATAAAAAATAATAATGCTCTATGTGTGCACACACTTAGAAGTAGTTCACACACTTAGAAGTAGTTTCTCTAAGAATACCAAGTATATAGGGAAACCTATATACTTGATATTCTTAGAGAAACTACTTTAATCGCATTCGCAGATCAATGAAGATCTCTTTACGGTGGACATGTTATCTGGATACGAGATAACATATTTTGTTTCCCTTGCTATGGAAAAATTACCCCACAAGCTTCAAATGACGGCCCCATGTATCAGACGATTCTTTTTGTACTTTACGAAGAATGGGACCGATTTTCGCAATAAGATAAGCCTACATGAATCAACCGGTAGCTTGAAGGCACTCTACACGGAAGTTAAAATTCTGTGTTAATTTTAAGTATGTTTCCGTTTGATTTAAGAGCTAAGGAATAAATGCCATGCTATATGAACATATTTTTTAAACATCAGACCGCGTGCGTAATGCAAGTACAGCTTTCTAGAAAACGTTTGAATGAGAAAACATCGTCTTACATTCAGAGCAGTACGGTGCTATCGCAAACTTATAGGTATAGGCTGATTAGAATTTAAGAAAACTTGTAAAGTATTCCTTAAAATATTTTGGTATTCCCAAATTCAGCTTTGTAAACTAGAACAAAAATCAAGTGAAGTATCCACAAATGCTTTCGTAACCATACATTAATTAGGTAAATATTACACAAAATAAGGTTTTGATTTTTCCGTGTCGACCATTATTATTTCCGTACTTCACGTTCATAAATTTCCCGAAGAAAACTACTCCACACAGCCAAATATATATTTTTCAGTATCTGAAAGATAGTATCATATTTTTAATCCTAAAATTTAAAACAGGGGAGGGGGGAAAGAGAAAAGATTTAGCTTTATTACGATCTTCAGAATATCAATGATTAAACCTAAGCATCAGATTATGAATTAAAAGCAATGAGTGTAAGTAATTACGATAGAAACAAAAATAAAATTTAAAAAAAATCTTCTTCTCCACTTCGTGTCTGATAGCAACTAATCAGAGGAATTTCCGAAACACGATCCCCAATTAAAAATCGGTCCCACGGTGATCCATCTCAGGAGTTTCATACCTCCTCCTCCAACAACCGCTCTCCCGTTTGCTCATTTTGTTTTCATCACCTCGCTGTCCTCTTCGTCTCTTCCTCAGCTCCTCCTCGACTTCGGTGGCAGTACTTCCTTATTTACCCAAATTCATCTGCGATCTGCAGTTAATTAAGAGTATGACGTTAGTGCTTTGCGATTTACTTGGACACGAACTGGGAACACATGCTTCGATAAATAAAGTCGGAGAGAAAGGGATCTAGGAAAACCACATACACATTTAAAACTCCGGCGAAAAAGGGGAAAATCACTTCGGTTTGCTCCAGTTACTTCATAATCTGAACAGTTACTGTAACCGAAAACAACGGATTTCAATTAGCATTTTTAATTCACACTCACAAAATTATTTCTCAGGTTCGTGGCATTAGTACAAAAGATAACAAATTCCTCAGTCTGAATATTTTTGCTCTAATGAAAAATTCTGAACCATGATCATAATTTTCTTTGTATCTGAAGAAAATGCACAAACTGATTTTATTAACTTCAATCTTTTTTCGGCAAGAAACAATCTTTTCTTTAGGTAAATTTTAACTTTTATTAATTAATTTTGATAAATGAACTTTTGCCAAAAAAGGTATTATCTAAATTCACTAAGCTATTTTCTGTCTCCAATAAAAGCGATCCATATTATTCTTTTACATGTTTTATTTGGAGTGGTTATATCTGTTTGTTTAGATCAAATCTTGAAGATGGTTTTTTGATCCACTTCTCTATAAATATATATTTTATTATTAGTTCATGATGACACAATATTTAGTGGATTTAACACACATATCCTCAATTAAAGATTTAAAAAAAAAAAAAAAAAAAAAAAAAGAGCAAAATTACGATCTTTGCACCACAAGACAAGACTCACCAAGTTATCTTCCGGATAAGTTTACAGCATATCTATGTAATGGCTTCGTAGATATGCGGCCCTTTTCCGTTTTATGATTATATACAAACGAAATTAGGTTAGGTTTCTATGCCTAAAATACTACCTTTCACAATGTTTCGAGTATTAAAATCGACTCTTTGCCCTCATTTAGAACAATAATGATGAATATATATTAATTAGATTATTTTTCGCAATTTTTCATACATTATGTTATTATTTAAAAGCCCTGCAGCAGCAGATTCTTTTCTTTTAGACATTACAGGAAATGTCTTTGAAACCAAAGAAAGATGATGAACGAAAGATGATTTCATGTACTTCTTAAACATGTTTATTAGAGGGAATGACTTTCCTGTGTTCAGAGGCAATGTTTTTCTTAATTTTAGTTAATATTTATTTATTTTTCATACAATTCTTTTAAGCTCCAATGCACTAAAAACAAAAAGAAAAAAAATAGCCATCACAACATTCTTAGCCATATGTGACTATATCTAACCTATGCATCAGTAATGTAATAAAGGAGAGGCAGTCTGTCTGTTGCAACATATTTTTTGGGGGGTGGCATTTTTCATATGATGCATTATTTCATATGAATTAGTCATGTTGATGATCACAGCTGGAAAAAAGGATTAATTTTTATTGGAAGGACTCAGGTTCTCCATGACGGATTTAAAAACTGGGAACTGGCTCATCTTCCCATCATGTATGCATGAATACAACTTTACATACCCTATGCTAATGTAGGATAAACCATGCAAATGCTCATTCTGCTAAACCAACCTTTACGATTAGATGATCTTTATGATGTTTTCAGCTATCTCACCTGTTCAATCTACTGTTTAAGTGAAGAACCATTTGATACTGAACTTTTATACAAAACTAAATCTAGGAGAAAATTGTTTTTAGTACAGAGTAGTCAAAAAAATCAGAGTGAGATTTCAAAAGCACGATGTTCTTGTTGTGCTTTTTTTTTTTTAAGCCATACAATTTTTGAATGAAAAATATGAAAGTCTATTGACTTCTGATCACAATAACTTAAATAAGAAAGAATTCACTACTTAATGAGAAAAAATTCAGAGTTTTTTTAACTACTGCTTGGGAAGATGGAATAGAGAAGTGGAAGAATGGCCACTTAGAACTTTTGCAATTTACAGTTTTACTTAGAACTTTTGTTAAAATACACTCTCCAGAATGCAGTTTAAAATCACAACTGCTACAAATATTAGTCACTGCAAAAATAATTTTACAAATCAAGTAGCATATAAGCAAGCTAAAATTGAGCAAGCAACTCGTGTTTAAGAAATCTTACTATGCTGTCTCCAAAGCCTGCATACAAAGCAGCAAATCAACTCCTAAAATGGCATCAAAAACTCTGCTAAGATAAAAACAAGCAGAAGAGAATTTTAGAAAGTTAATGTTTTAATTCAAAGATAAAGTGTTTTTATTTCTATTCCTATATGCCATTTTAAAGATTGTTTAACTTGTGACAAATTGAGAGGGACTGCAAACAAATAAGGTAACAAAAGATCTAACTACACCACTGCTGCCATAATAGCTGGGTCAGGATATTAATTGAATTTGAAAGAACTATACAAAGGACACCACAAAAATAACATATAAAGAATGACTACATTCAATTCATTTAAAATTCCTCTTCAACAGTTAAAATGCCTCTACTGTTAAAAGTATCACAGGTTTATTTTTAGTAAAGCATGATCCTCAATACTGTAACAGCTAAAAAATTACTTTTTATTATTTACTGCACTTTACTAAAAAACCCAGGAACTTAAAAAGTTTCTTTAATATATACATACATATATAAATTTTATTTTTCATCAGAACATTAAAAAAAAAAAAAAAAAAAAAAAAAAAAAAAAAAAAAAAAAGAACCGAGAAACTTGCTTACCTTGCCATCCCACAAATTCAGCTCCATCACCTATTAAAAATATCAAATGACTGTCAACAAGAAAATGGTTCACATGCGATCAATTTAAGAAGATAACCAATGAACTTAAATAATTCAAAACAAAATTTCATAAATTATAAGCTATACACATAAAATATAAGTACTAAACTTTTATTAAAGTATCTGGTTGGTTAGGTAAATTACTTGAATATAACAAAGCAGATAAGGCTTAGGGGGAGAGATGCCTTTGTAGAGGATTTTTTAAGGGAAAGCAGTTCCCATTTATTTAAGCATGAGAAAAGTGTGAAAGCACGTATGTAGCCAACAATATACAGGGCTCAATCCTGGAACAAACTATCAGTGTTTAATGCATGGCCACTGCAGAGCAGGTCAGTGCTGAACTGCCATCACTAATAACAATTAACAATATGTCTATTATTAGAAGGACCTGTATAGCTATGTATGCAATTGTCTAATGTATAAAACTGCATTGTCTTCATAACCATCTTTACACCTGGTGTGTGTACTGTATGTATAATATGCACTTCTTTCGAACCATCTATATAATACTACATTAGCTCCATCAGGTTTTGTAATTAATTCAAATCTTATTGTTTGCCTTAATGTAATTTTACTGCATGTATGAGTATGTCATTGTACTGCATATCATGCACATTAGCTCTTGTATTAGTTGCATTACTTGCATCATACATATCATCTTCAGTATCGTATGTACCAATTATTTGCACTTCACCCCAGTTATTTATAATTCACTATAATTTTTTTATCCTCAATCTTCAATAAATGACTCCCCTACTGGCTGGATAAAAAAATAAAAGCTTTACAGAACATCTGTCATCCAATCAGCAGTGTAACAGCGATGTTAAGCAAAAGAGTCAAAATGCACCTTGTAACAAGAACACAGCAATAACAAAAGAGTTTTATCTGCCATTGTAAAAAGTATTTCCTTAGAATGGAGGAGTTATATGCGTTTAAAAGTAAAATCTGATTACCCATGCAGAAATAAAAACACCAGTAAAAATACAAATCCCTCAATATTGTATTACTATTCAAATTATTACAATATCATCATAAATTTCATATTACACATCAACAACAAATGGAAAAGTTTATCCAAATTTTAGATAAAAATAGCAAAATTTATTGCATGTGAAAAGCTTAGTGCAAGTATTTTAGTGAAAATCTCGTGGCATCAACCAATTATATACATGGGATTAGGCAAATGATTAATGAAAATTATTTATCAACAACTAAATAAATTCAGAAAACACACATTCCTTAATTAAATGAACAAATTAAAGTAATCAAAATAACCTCTAACGATTTTGTTTAATTATCATGGAATTTATCGTGAAGAGCGAAAGATTAGAACATGAAATGGGGGGGGGAGAATTATTCATCTATCTATTAGAAAGAAGATACAGGAAGCTAATAACGTGCAATACCCAATTTTTTATATGCATAGAAGATCGAATAAAATTTAAGAAAGGAGCAAAGAGTTCTGATGCTCAGCATGGATGACACAGATTTAACGTTCGACAACACATTAATTTGACGCTAGGAAATAACGATTTGTATTGAATCGATTCCCTTGCTTTTTAAAGAGGATCATGCATAATGCATAACCAATGCTTAGTACAATGCTTGAATTCAATAGATAGTACCGAATTTCTTTGAAGAGCACGGAATAGAAGTGGCAACTACGAAGAACCTCACCAACGAAACTCGGGAATTAATTTCCGCTTGCAGGGTTCGTACAAAGGAAAAGTGGGTAAAAACTGCAGCAAAACAACAAAGCTTCTATTTCCCCATACCCCACCCCCTGGAGGGAAAGGAAGAGTGCGCCAAATGATAAAATAATGAACTTCCAAGATAAGGCATCGCAAAGGAAAGAAGAGCAATGAAACAAATAGAGGGACGTAAATAAGCAAATAAAGGGATCTTTTAAAAGATCCAGGCAACAATAATTTTTAATTCACTTGAAGAAACCAGACTTCATCCCCAAAAGAAGTGAAGTAAAAGAGGTGCTTCTTTCATAACAAAAGCTGAAGCCATTTATTAGATAGGAGAACGCAGTTTCTATACAGACTACGTCTAGTGGATATTGCAATTTCAGTTCAGTAAAGAAGTTTAACAGTAATAAAACACAGTCTGTACAATTACTGCAGAATTTACAATTGCTTTATTATAAAAGAACCAGAAAAAATAATGACATTCAGCATATATAATGACTTGTGCAATTAGTTACCACGCCAACTTGCAAACGGTCACCCAATGCGCAGATGGGAAGAATATGGAATACACGATACGAAAATCAAATACAGCACTACGGATAACCATTGTTTCTGAGATATTTTTGACATAGCTGAAAATTCTCTCTCTCTCTGATAGTTATAATGGAAAATAGTTCTTTGACCGATAAACACAAAAAGGAAACTTCCATTTGGAGCAATAAATCTCAAATTCAAGTTCGAATTCAAAAACATAAAAACTGTAATTTGTTTTTGCGGGTAAAACATCATAGGATTCATATATTAAAGGACAGCTTAGCTTTCAGTGTGGATTTAACCAATCAGAAGCCTTGCCGGAAGAAATGTACATAAAACCTGTGAAAATAATACAGTTTTCAAATCCTGAAACGAAATGAATGCTACATTTGTCAAAGCAGTGTATATGAAAAGTAATCAAATGCACGTGTCATAAAATAAACAACATGTGTAACACAATTTCTGTATACAGTATATATTATAATGACATTAAAAACGTTGAAATTCGAAATATTATAATCTTTACAGGTTCGGCAAATGATGGCAAGTTTTTTCGGAAATCCATCCCCCCCCCCGGAAGGAGGGAGCAGTAAGTTTATACATTTGCTGAAGAAAAGCGATGATAATTTTCAGTAGGATTTTAACTTACATTTGACGCATCGGTGTACGTGCATAAACAAAGAGACCATTATTATGCGAATTTATCTAAGAAGCATGATAATAGGAGGACACGCAAGGGAACCACATTATCAAAAATTTATGCGATTGAGTTCGAAGAATCAAATCTAATTTCTATAAATGAGCTGCGGGAAAATTTCTCTTAAAACTCTGCATTTGAGTCCGCCAAATTATTAGTTAGCCAAATTATTTTACGCTTATGACAGTGTTAATCAAAGACTTTTCCCTTAATTCCGAGAGGAAACGTCTTCAGTCAGAATCACCTCACCATTTACTTATTTTCTATAATTTCTTTACATCCGCAAATGACATTCATTATCGTGCGGCTTACTATACTATGTGTTTGTTTAGTTAATTATGCCAAAGCACAAGGGCAATCTGCCTAGGGGATGACAAGTCTTTGTGAAGAATTCAGTAAGGAAACTGGATCGCATTCATATAAGTAAAACCACAAAAGCAGCTAGGCACTTATTTTTCAGTTCGCCGATATCTGAACTCGTACCGAGCTATCAGGATTCTTTTCTAATCGGGAACCAGTGGGATCACTTTGCTACAGCTGCAATGAATGTGATTAATTAAAATGACAACCCCAATCCCCTGTACCAATAACTTAAATTCACAATTAAAAAAAATGGCAATTACTATATATTTGAGGAAAAACGTTTTTGAGTTAAACGGAAAAGGAGAAACCTTACAAAGTTAAATGAGTGTTCACCCAAATTCAAATGGCATGGAAATATTATTAATGGAAAAACAAAACTAGATAAACGTATCGCATGTCAAATTAGCATAAATGAAATATATAAACGCTCAATAACTTGTGTCTGGGAAATCTCCGGCGCATTTCAACAAATTTTCGGAATCAAAACGGTTTTACGAGAGATAACATTTCATGAATTATAATTTTTGACTATGGTTATTAAATACTGTATTTTCTGCTTAAATAACAAATCTTCCTTAAAGGTACATATTTAACTGTGTAAACAATATTATTATAGGTAATTGTAAAAACTAAGGCAGTAGTACAATCACATTTTAATGACAGCTACAAAGCAAAGGCAACAAATACGATTTAAAAAGGAAGTATGTTAGACGACTAAACTTTCTGATATGAAACGGATAGCAATTTCGGTCAAGATTCGACAAGAAAACATTACGATTCGCTAGAAGATTATCAGAATACGAAGCAACAAACCAGAAGATTAATATCTCAGTTTGAAACGACGTGCGAAACGGTTTTCTTAAATGATATTCCGCAAAACGGCATCTTTACAATTTAAGCAGAATAGCTTAACAAAAGCATATTTATAAGTCAAATTTCCATTTTAATGTACAATTCAAACACCTAACCGTTTTAGAAGCGAATCCAAACTCTAAAAGGGGGGGGGGCGGTGTGCTAAGAAAACCACTGTTTTCTTTTTCCTTGCATGATTTACTACTTCTCTTTCCTCGTTAACTTTTTGACCGCGGCAAACTTTTCCAAAAGCACGCACATTTTCAGGTCAAAAATACTTTATGCCTGTCGTACCCGCGATTCTGGGCTCAAGTCTTCAGTCACAGCGCGGCTTGTTTTCCTTCCTTCTTAGTTTTCTTTTCCTTTCCAACCAGCTTCTAAAGTTCACGAATTATGTGCTTGATTTTCTTCTTACTTCAAAAGACACATAATTTTCCACGTTCAGAACAAATTTCTTTTTACCTCCAGAAAAACATTTTGAATCTTTCTAACACATTAATATTCTAAGGCAGGGGTCGGCAATGCAGTGCCCGCGAGCTCCATGGCTTTTAGTAACATATCAAAACATGTATTAGCTTACCTACCTCTTTTATATTTTGATTTTTTAGTTATTACATGAGCGTAAAATCTTTATTTTAAATTAATATGCATACTTCAAAAGATAATTATTTTGTTTTGCACACTTGTGATTAAAAAATTAAATTATATTTTTTTAAAATTAAACTATGAAATTTCGATGCATTTTAAAATTTTTTAATAATGCGTCTTTATTAACAAAAAAAGTTGCCGATTCCTGTTCTAAGATATCCCCCCCCCCACAACACACATAAAAATTGTCCTATTAAAAAAAAAAGTCTCTCTCATCTTTTGCGCGTACATATATGAAATCGAGAGCGTTTATAACGAGCATCGATATGACGTAATCGCAATTCTAATGAAAAGCCAAACAAGTACTGCATGTAACAAACTATTACAAATGTGGTCAAATTTTGATAATTCTGCCAACAACGCAAAGATAAACTACTTAAATTTCCTTAAAGAAACTGGAACAAATACATAATACATACTCAGTGTTTTAAAGAAAAAATTTTAAATTAAACAGCTAGTTTTAAAAATTAGTAATTCAAATACTGTACGAAATCCTGTTTGCATCTTTAACCACCAAAGTTTATACTAACGCACTTTTATCAAAACTGAGCTTTATATTAACAATATCCTCATCAACATACCGCGGATGCTACGTATCTTGCAGCAAATCAGTTTACTTATACATGTAAAAAATATTATAACCAATTACAAACATTTCATTCCTGCCTTGTCCTGAAATTAAACCCACTGTTATCATCTATCTGAAAATGTTTGCATTGACTGGAAGAAAAATATTGCTCTTTGCACCGTGCTTCTCTGTTCACTTGTTCTTGAATACATACAAGATTGGCAACATTTATACATACAATTATGTTGATTTTCCTATTTAAAAAAAGTGAAGATAATTCCTGCTACAAGAATAGTTGCACTATGCATGAGATAAATGAGTAAAAACCACTTACGACAAATATAGCCTCTGTCCTGTGTGTAGAATAGGAAAATGTTAATTCTTTTCTGTTCTGATAGAGATAAGGAAGAGCTAAATTTCAAACTGAATCCATACATAATTGTTGATTATTCGTTTAAAACAATACTACTACATGAGCTTTTGATCCCCCCTTCCAAAGCAGATAACACTTACCTAGCGGCTCTTTGATTGAACGACTTGCCGCTGCATTAAGAAAAATAATTAACTACAAGCATTTCTCAGTTCAGAAAATAAAATAAGAGGTGGGTTTAGTTCAGCAATGTACAGCCATTTAGCCTATTATAAAGGAATTTTGAAGCGCTAGATCTGCTGCATACATAATCTATATGAATTAAACGTAAAATTATATATACGGCAATTAAATAATTAATATTCTATCAATGAAACAGCAGTATTAGAGATATTTATAAAAATGAATCACCCGCCCAAGTATAATAAATAAGCATGCTATTAACAATATACGGAATAAAGTTAACAACAGCAACAACAACAAAAAGATAGATTTACATTTATTATTAAAATTAAGTAATTTAACTACACGTGTAAATCTAATTAGCATTTAAATGTTTTTGTTGGCTTCGCAAGACTACGAGTTAAAATTACATAAGAAGTTCACAGGGTGATTAATTACCCTATGCATCACCAATCTCTTTCTTTTTTTTTTTTTTAAACGTAGCCTAACTATAAACAGATGCAAAATATTTCCACTGCATAAATTAAATGAAACAACAAAATTCGTAAAAACACACAATCGCAAATTAAAAAAGAGCAGAAAAGCGATATTACCTTGCCTAGTGGGATCCATATTATTTGGAATCATAGGCTGGCCTGGAACACCACCAGGGGGCTGAAAAGAGAAAAATCACATACTTGGTTATACATTCTTTAATTTTTCACTTAATTCAGCTTACGTACATATTTTTCTTTTTAAAATGCGTAGTATAGAACAATTCATTTTTAATTTGATAAGCTATCGTACATTAAACTTTATAAAAAAATGGCTGTAAGAAAGATAAGCTTCCAAGTCTATAAACTGTTTTGGTTTACGATATTATTCTCATAAAGCTATAACACATTTATTCAAAAATGTGATGGATGAAGCATGTTAATTGTTAGAAGATCTAGACATCTGAAAAATATACGGTTTTTACCAGTGACACAAGCAACTAATAGGCTTAATAAACTACTTATAAATTTACGTAGCGGAGGGAGGACGTTACAGAACGACAGGATTTTTATCTTTGATGATTCTAAGAATTCATTAGTAGCTGATATTCATACACTTTTCAAGTAAAGTAAAGAAGATAATCCTTTCAAGTAAAGAAGATAATCTTAGCGAGTACAAACTAATGCTGAAAAGATTGGAAAAGATTGGACCTTAATTAATTTTGTTCCTTTTCTGTAATCCCCCAACCCTTTCCCTTTGAAATAATTCGCTGAAGGCAGAAAAGAAAAAGTTATTTCACCAACTATTTTGCACTCTAATCAAGTTGTATGCGGAGACAAAGGTAATTCAACGCGAACACTAAATTTTAGTTCAATAGGCTCAGTTAAAAAACAAACGCAAGCAAAGGTATTTGATCAAAGGACATTATTATGTTAAATAGTTATTTAGCTATTCATACTATTCTTCGAATTACATTCGCAAATCAAATATTTAACTCCTGAAAGGAATAAATAATAATAATAAAAAAAAAAAATAGACAATGACTTAAGTGGCCCTTTTTGTTAATCTCTCAGCTTAATATTAAGGGATAATAGGGAGCAAAAGATAAAGTAACGTCACTGAAAGAACTTAATCAAACAAATCAGTAATCGATCGTTAACGACAAAGGGCAGAAATGTGACACCAAATAAAAGTCCATTTAAGAAAACATTAAAAAAGATTAGGAGAAGATATATATTACAATAGACGGCTTATTTAAAAAAATATGAAGATGATGCCAAAAACCTGAATTAAATGGAATGAATTAGCTCACATATCAACGGAAGTCTAATGTAATTTTTGATATAAGACTACTTATTTAATAATGAATATTGATTACTAATTACTAAGGCAAACATATAGGTAATTTATTGCGGTAAAATACTTAATTAACATTAGCTTTAGGAGAGACCTTTTGTAGAGGATTTCTTCAGTATGAAAGTTTACTACACATTAGTATACAAATGACAATAATTTTAAGCTACTGACGATTTTTTAGTCGTAGTAAATCGGAGACCTAATTGCTGACTACTGAATTTTATGAAACAGTTCTGTGATTTAAAAATTTGCTTGAAAGTATTCCAGATTAACGTTAGAAAAAATTAATAATAATATTTGATATATTACTGATGTTGTACTTTACATTGTTACTTCACCCTAGCATTAGTTTTTAAAATAGACACGTTTTAAGCGGTACTGTTGCATTTTTTTTCTTCATGTAACGGTAAATAAGCAGATACAAAAATTAAAGCGTTATGAGCGTCGAGAGGTTTGATTTAGTTTCCTACGCTTTCTTTTTATGTGTAGCGCACGTATTACATGCATGAGGTATGATAATTGAAGTAAAAAGTAAACATCTCCAGAAGGCTAGTTTTTTCCGCGTTCCTCCTGAAAACAATCCCTTTTACTATTTCGTATTTCTTTAAACATTCATTTTATATACTCTTTTTTTGCCATTTTTCGACGATAAAATGCTGAAACCACGACAGGACAACAAACTCTATTCATTATTATATTTTGAGAGGCATTATTTTCTAAATCAGCCAACGACACTATTGTTAGGAAGTATGTTTTACCACATTTCGAGGAGAGAATAAAATAGCAGAAATGAGTTCGCTTTAAATATCATTTCTCAACATCTAAATAAAACATCTCCCATTGAAACCTGGCATCACATAGTACCTCTTCTGTTTTCACCTAAAAGTGGGTCCCTACCGATTTGAATAAAACTTAAATAAAATATCTCTCCGCGGGTAACAAAATACAGCAAAAGCAAACTCGGTGACTCCACTGCTGATTTGCATTTCACTTAAAAGTAACCATCCACATGTATTCTACTCCTACCCCGTCAGAGGCCGGCGACAAAATAAGCGGAGCGGAGATTGTTTCTGAAAAGCCCGGCCATGTAATATTCCGCCGTTTCCAAAACCAATTTCGCTCAGATTTAATCAAAGGCTTTCCAATCAACGACTTTATGAAAAGCCTCAGTACTAGCTATAAAGAATCGCTGGAAGCAAAAGATATTAATGAAAGATTTGGATAGGAGAAGGGGAAAGGTCGCTCAAATTACCCCGGTTATTTTTGTAACTCTCTGCCCCCACCTCTCCTTTTCCACTCATTTGCGCCGAGTTTTCAACGCTGCTTCACTTTTAAATTTATTTATCCCTTCGTTAAAAGGAGAAATGGAAAGGCTTCGCATTAAAAGAAAGGAATTTGCTTTTGAAATGAGCCTATTTGATAAAACGCGACATTATTTTTGGAGGCTTTTTTTTAGGGGATGGTGCTAAAGCAGCTGCAGGTTTCTGCTTCATGTGGAAGGATTTCTGTGGACCTTTTTTGTATCATAAATCAGAATCAGATACGGAGAAATTAAAACTGAGTAGATGGCTCTGGAAGATTATTAACACAGAGATAAGGGGATTACTTTTGATAAAACCACGCCTAAATGGCATCAATCGATTAAAAAAAAGGGGGAAGAATCTTGTTAAAGTAATCAAATTTCGGATAATGCGATTAGTTTCTGACTCTGTTAGGTTAAATAAATTCTTCTCGCGTTTAAATCCATTTCTTTATTTAAAAGATAAGAAAGCAAAAAAGAAAGGCACAAAATTATTACTTTATGTGACAACCTTAACTTAGCATTTCTTCTAGCTTCATTTTTTAAATCCGCATGAGCTACGGAAAAACATTTTCTAACTCAACGGATTCTCTGATTTGTTTTCACCACAGAAATTTGGTAAATGAGTAAATAATTTTTAGAAGCGGTAAAGTATAAAATCTTAAGACAAGAATATTCAAGGAAGTCTCACAGGATATTATATTCAATATTTTTTAACTATGTAACGAAGACATCCGAATAAAAGCGTGAATAACCTGAAACTTTATTTTGGTCCTTTTTTTAGATTGGAAGAGAAAGGAAGAATTATAAGGTCATAATCTCATTTCGTAAGTTTTTTTTTTTCTGCATTTAAATAAATTTATTTCAATTATTTAAAAATAGCAAGCAGATGAATATGAGAAAATGAAAGAAAATTTCTTTTGTGCTTGTTAGCATTGTTTTGCGTGGATAATAATGTCGTTCACCAGCAAAAGATGACACAACGGGAAAAAAATTGAAATATTACACAACAGAAGTTTCTAATATCAAAATATAGTATAAATACTATCCATGAATCTGAACAAACAATCGTACTGTCACATTTCAAATCTTTATGTCACTGGCACCAAACGACGAACTTCGAATTTGACATCCAAACAAAAAGACAACTTGAAGTTGCACACGTCAGTGACCTCGCCACTTTGATTGATCTAAAAGATAATGAGACGGTACTTGGATGAACTCTTCCTCTTTCACCCAGTCTTCTGAACTCCTGTAAGTCTTATTCTATTTTCACTACGTCTAAACTACCCTAACTTCCAAAGACGAAACTAAAACACACCACTTTTGAAACTTATTGTACTTCACTATTTCATCGATTCCAGAAAATGAAATTAGACTATACGCACATAATTTCTTTTTTATACATACTAAGCCATATATCATACCATTTTTTTAATGCTTGCTGGATAATTTATCACATTGTTTCTTCTTTCATTAAAAATCAATATTATTTTAAAGTTCTAAGCGCTGTTTAATGTAATTTAACATTTAACATGATCTTTTTTGTCTTAAGAAGGCTAAAAAGTTTTTGTTTTTTATCATATCTTGGCTTAGAATAGATTAATAGAAGAGCTGTACTTTTGAATAGCGAAAAAACAAATATATATTTAACAAAGACAATTACAAAATGAAATCCCATTCCATAATGCATAGCATTTCTTATTCCAATGTTTATTTTTCATCCAATGTGACACTCCTCATTCAGGTATGAAGAAACCGTATTTTAAACAAATGGAATAAAGGTTATTGATGTCGATACTTATTTATTATGCTGCTATTTCAGTTCCGTAAAGCAGATCATTAATAATTAAAACTAATTACGATTTAAATTAATTAAAACAGATTTAAAAGTCTAGTGTTTCTTTTCAAAATCGTCCACGGACTGAAAAATCAGAATAAATATTTAACCATTATAAAGAATAAATGTATTTATTGCATACGATTGCATTAATTATGAATCAAATGAATTTTAATCATCCCTTATTTTTATTTATAACTCATGGTTTTTCAAATTATTCGGTTAGAGAATATTTTATCGAAAGCTGAAGACGCATGTGATGGTAAAAAAAATAAGTAAAACTCAATTAATTCCATTTCATCTCTTCATATGCATATTTCTTTCACTATAAATATTTAATAACAAACTCTTCACAATAAAAAATTTATTTTATCTATTTGAGCATTCAGTCGAAAAATGCAATCCCCTTAAATTAAATGCAGCAATATGGGAAATAGCGATATTAATTTTCTAACTATGACATAAAAGGTCTGCAACTTGAGATCAGTGAAGATACTTGAAACAGAAATTAGGATTAAAAAGCGCGCCTCGCTATTATTAAAACCCATACTTTAAAGGAAAAAAAAAAAAAAAAAAAAAAAAAAAAAAAAAAAAAAAAAAAAAAAAAAAAACAAAAAAAAAAAAAAAAAAAAAAAAAAAAAAAAAAAAAAAAAAAAAAAAAAAAAAAAAAAAAAAAAAAAAAAA